TGTTTGGGTTTACAACCAATGAGAAGGCAGAACAAAATACTTTAAATAGACGAACAGACAGGAATAGAGCGCTCATTCGGGAAGCTGGGACACCGCAGGCAAAGGGTGAGATTTTAGCTCTGAGCTCTGACCTCTCGGCTTTCTCTTTTGCATTGTTTCTGTGTTTCTTATTTAATAAGACGGTTGGTTACATCAATATCACAGTGTGCCTGAGATCCTTGATTCTGTTTCTAAGAAACAAACGTATCAGCTGAACAGGGCAAATCGGGTGAGTCTTTGGTGTATGAAGCCCTGTTATCTGCCCTTGTAAACCTTTCTAGTGTCCCATAGCCGGGACCGAATGATGGCAGGTTACTCTGAGGCAGGCAAAGGACACTTGTCTTTGTCAGCCCTGAGCACATTTGTCAAAATGAGCGTCTTTCTCATGTTCTTTTTCCTGGAGATTTCTTTTTTCTTTTTCTCTTTCTTTCTTTCTTATTATTATTATTTTTTTTAATTTTATATAGAGTCTCTCTACATAGCCCTGGCTGTCTTGGAACTCAGTGTGTAGACCAGGCTGGCCTTGACCTCACAGAGATCCTCTGGCCTCTGTCTCCCAAGTGCTGGAATTAAAGGTGTGCGCCCCCACCATCCGGCCTACATTTTAATTTTAAACAATTAATTTTTTTTTTAAAGATTTATTTATTATGTGTACGGGGTTCTGCCTACACACATCCCTGCAGGCCAGAAGAGGGCGCCAGATCTCATTACAGATGGTAGTGAGCCACCATGTGGTTGCTGGGAATTGAACTCAGGACCTTTGGAAGAACAGCCAGTGCTCTTAACCTTTGAGCCATCTCTCCAGCCCTTAAACAATTAATTTAAAAAGGATTTCTTGCTTGCCTGTGAATGTGTGTGTTTATATGTGTGGGTACTTGTAGAAGTCAGAGAACAATCTGCAGGAGTCGGTTCTCTCCACCTGTGGGTCCTGGGGGCTAAACTCAGGTCACCAATCTTGGTGGCAGGCACCTGTAGCAAGCTTTCTCTTCAGGACAGCAAGCCCCAAAATAATGACACAGAGACATTATTAATTATGAAAGTTTGGCCTTTAGTTACGCTTGTCTCAGCTAGCTCTTTTTTTTTTCTTTTCTTTTTTTCTGAAGAGGGCGCCAGATCTTGTTACAGATGGCTGTGAGCCACCATGTGGGTGCTGGGAATTGAACTCAGGACCTCTGGAAGAACAGCTAGTGCTCTTAACCGCTGAGCCATCTCGCCAACCCATAGCTCTTATAACTTAACCCATTTATGTTACTCTATCTTCTGCCACATGGAGTTACCTCTCTTCCATCTTGTACCTCCTGTTTCCTCTCCACGTCTGGCTGGCGACCCCACCTTCTTCTTCCCAGAGTCCTCTCTCTGCCCAGAAGGCCCACCTATCTCTCCTGCCTAGCTATTGGCCGTTCAACTTTTTATTGCACCAATCACAGCAATGCATCCTCACACAGTGTACAGATCTCCCACATTAGGCACCGGTACCCACGGAGCCATCTTATGGCTGATTCCATTCACTGTTGGGGATAACTGGTCACCCATTACAGTCTGCTTCTTCTGTTGAGGTGGCTGCCCAGTGCTTCTACCTTACCTAGGTAAGTAAAGCTGGGACCTGGTTGCACAGGTTTGTAATCCCGGATACTCAGGAGGCTAAGACCCAGAGATTGTTAAATTCAAGGTCCACCTAACTCAGAGTAAGTTCAAGGCTAGCCTGGACAACTCAGTGAGACTGTCTCAAAACATAAAGTATATCTCAGAGCATTTATCTTAGCAGTAGAATGCTGAGTTTTAATCCTAACACACACATACACACATATGAAAATAATTAAATTAGTAAATAAAAAGACAGGTATCAATCAAACCTAACAAAAACTCCCCCTACCACACAAATTTTCAGAGCTACCTACAGAGGTAGAAACACGCAGGCATGTCTGGCCTAGGAGAGAAGACACCAAAGTTGCTAGAATGCTACTAAGAAATGTATATGGGGGGGGAGAGGGAGGGAGGAAGGGAGGGAGGGAGGGAGGGAGGGAGG